CCGGGGGCACCTCCAGGGGCGGGGGAGGTGCGACGAGGAAACGGGCAGGGCCGTGAAATACCGGCCGCTTTTCCCCTCATATTCTGTATTCTGGCGGAGGAGCGCCGGGAAGGGGGGCTGGAGGCATTTGGCCTGGGTGGCAGGGGCAGGGAGAGGCTGTCACCGGGACACGGGGAAAAGGCAGGAGCAGAGCTGCCAGCACCACAGCCCTGACTGCCGTCGCTTTTCGACGATAAGGGCCATAAGACCCTGATACAGCACACAGAACAGGAAATCCCCAATATAACCAACTAAAATGTAGTTTATTGTTTGTTTTACCATAGCACCTTCAGGATTTTTAAAGTGTTACACACACACACACAATTACAGAACTCTCAGAAAAACAATTAACTTAGAAACCTTTATGCCAAATACTGCCCAATGACCACGTCGCACATAAATAGGATACAAAAAAGATAAAAATACAAACTATGTTTATTTTTGCCCTCATAAGAACCATTTACTGGAGCGAATAGGGCACTAGAGAGCACATGAATTTCAGGGACTCAACACACGGAGGACCTGATTTTACCGGAGAGGGTGCAGGCTGGCTCGATGAAGGTGAGCAGCCCGAGCTGCTCTTTCATTGGCTTAAGACCAGGTCAGTATTTTGTGCACACCCTGAACTCGCAAGGCATTCACAGGTGAAGTGCCACTGAGGTTAAACCGCAATCTCTCCTTTGAATTCACATGGTTTGGGCTCAGTCCTGGGGATATTCAGGATCAGGAAATCAGGGTAAGAGGAGTAAAGCAACATGAGCATCACACTCAGGAGAAAAAGGTAAGGATCAGGTAGTATATAAGAATCAAGTAAAAAAAAAACCCACAAAATCATTGTTTCTAGTATAAAACTGTTTGCGAACACTGTAGTTGGTCAGGAGATAATCTCTTGATCTCTTGCAAGTGTAGAGCCCAGGCACTTAAGTTATTTTTGGCTTCACACTGCTGGTGGGTGGACCCTCTCCCACCATCCCATCATCCAGTGATCCAATGTATCAATATAAAGGTCAACAGTTTCAAAAAAAAAACCAAAAAACCACAAACAAAAAGCCCCACATGATCTCCCCAACATAGAAACAGAATGAAAAAGGAATCACAGAATCACAGAATCACAGAATGGTAGGGGTTGGAAGGGACCTCTGTGGGTCATCTAGTCCAACCCTCCTGCTG